AGGAACATATCTAAACATGATCAAGGCAATATATACCAAACCAATAGCCAACATCAAAGTAAATGGAGAGAAACTCAAAGCGTTTCCTCTAAAATCAGGAACAAGACAAGGCTGTCCACTCTCTCCATATCTCTTCAATATTGTACTTGAAGTTCTGGCTATAGCAATAAGACAAGAAAAGGGGATCAAAGGGATACAAATTGGAAAGGATGAAGTAAAACTTTCACTATTTGCAGACGACATGATAGTCTACATTAGTGACCCGAAAAACTCTACCAGGGAACTCCTACGGCTGATAAACACCTTCAGCAAGGTAGCAGGATACAAAATTAACTCAAAAAAATCAGTAGCCCTACTATACACAGATGATAAATCCAATGAGAAAGAAATCAGGGAAACATCACCTTTCACAATATCCACAAGCAACATAAAATACCTGGGGGTAACACTAACCAAAAAAGTGAAAGACCTGTACAATAAGAACAGATTTCCCATGCTCTTGGATAGGTAGAATCAATATCGTAAAAATGGCAATCCTGCCAAAAGCAATCTACAGATTCAACACAATCCCCATCAAAATCCCAACACAGTTTTTCACAGACATTGAAAGAACAATACTCAACTTTATATGGAAAAATAAAAATCCCAGGATAGCCAGAACAACTCTTTAAAATAAAGGATCTTCTGGAGGCATCACCATCCCTGACTTCAAGCTCTACTATAGAGCCATAGTTCTGAAAACAGCTTGGTATTGGCACAAAAATAGACTGATAGACCAATGGAATTGAATTGAAAACCCTGATATTGACCCACGCACCTTATTTTTGGATAAGGTATTTTGGATACCTTATTTTTGACAAAGGTGCTAAATCTATACAATGGAAAAAAGACAGCATCTTCAACAAATGGTGCTGGTACAATTGGATTCGGACATGCAGAAAATTACAGATAGATCCATACCTGTCACCATGCACAAAACTTAAGTGCAAATGATCAAAGATCTCAGCATAAATCCAACCACACTGAATCTTCTAGAAGAGAAAGTAGGAATTACCCTTGAACAAATTGGCACAGGAGACCACTTCCTGAACATTACGCCAGAAGCACAGACATTGAGGTCTGCAATTAATAAATGGGACCTCCTGAAACTGAGAAGCTTCTGCAAGGCAAAGGAAACAGTCAGTAGGATAAAACGACCACCCACAGAATGGGAAAAGATCTTCACCGATCCCACATCTGACAGAGGACTGATTTCCAAAATATATAAGGAGCTCAAGAAGCTAGCCACCAAAACACCAAACAACGAAATTAAAAAGTGGGGTGCAGAACTAAATAGGGAATTCTCAACAGAGGAATCTGAAATGGCTGAAAGACACTTAAAAAAGTGCTCAAAATCATTGGCCATCAGAGAAATGCAACTCAAAACAACTCTGAGATACCATCTCACGCCTGTCAGAATGGCTAAAATAAAAAACACCAATGACAATCTATGCTGGAGAGGATGTGGAGAAAAAGGAACACTCCTCCATTGCTGGTGGGAGTGCGATCAAGAATTCTCAACAGAGGAATCTGTAATGACTGAAAGACACTTAAGAAAGTGCTCAAAATCACTGGCCATCAGAGAAATGCAACTCAAAACAACTCTGAGATACCATCTCACGCCTGTCAGAATGGCTAAAATAAAAAACACCAATGACAATCTATGCTGGAGAGGATGTGGAGAAAAAGGAACACTCCTCCATTGCTGGTGGGAGTGCGATCTTGTAAGACCACTCTGGAAATCAGTATGGTGGTTGCTCAGAAAAATGGGAATCAGTGTACCTCAAGATCCAGCCATTCCTCTCTTGGGTATATACCCAAATAGGGCATGTACTTACAACAAGGACATATGTTCAACCATGTTCATAGCAGCATTGTTTGTAATAGCCAGAACCTGGAAACAACCTAGATGCCCCTCTATTGAAGAATGGATTGAGAAAATGTGGTACATCTATACAATGGAGTACTACTCAGCAGAAAAAAACCAATGGAATCTTGAAATTCACAGGCAAATGGATGGAACTAGAGGAAACCATCCTGAGTGAGGTAACCCAGTCACAAAAAGACAAGCAAGGTATGTACTCACTGATATATGAATTTTAGACATAGAACAAAAGACTACCAGTATATAATGCTCTTCACCAAAGAAACTAGGAAACATGAAGGACTCTAAGGGTTAAATGGTCCCCAGGAATGGAAGTGGCATGAACTGCCGAACTAGTTGGGGGCATGAGGGTGGGGGGGAAGGAGCTGCTACAATAAGAACAAGAGAAGAGGAGTAGAGGAGAGGAAATGGAGGGGCAGAAACATTGAGTTGGGGGAAGAATAGAGGAAAGAGAGCAAGATGAGAGAAACGATATCAGAGGGAGCCACTGTAGGCCCGAGAAGGGATCAGGAACCAGGGAGATCTCCAGAGACCTACAAGGATGACACGATCTGACAATCCAGGCAATGGTGGAGAGGATAACCTAAAAACCCTCCCCCTAAAATGAGATTGATGACTTCTCTTTATGCCATCCTAGAGCCCTCACCCAGTGGCTGATGGAAACAGAGACAGACATCCACAGATATACAATGAGCCGAAATCGGGAATTTAGTTGAAGAGAGGGAGGAATGAAGAACGAAGGGGTCTGTACTAGGATGGAGAAACCCACAGGAACTGTTGGCCTGAACAAGGGAGAGCACATCGACCCCAGATGCTGTCCAGGAGGCCTGTACAAGACTGATCCAGACCCCAAAATTTTATTTTATTTTCTCCAGTGATGTGGAAGTTATTTCCTTTAGTTACTTACACTACTACAGGCTACCTACAAATATCTAGACATCCCTACTACCCACAAAGCGACAGCCTTAGCTCACTCCCTTAAAGCAATCAGTCTGGGGCTAAAGAGATGTCTCAGCAATTAAGAGCATACACTTTCTTGCAGAGGACCTGTGTCTGGTTCCCAGCATCTGCATCAGGAAGCCCACAATTGTCTGTAACCCCAGCTCTAGGGGAATCCAACATTCATCTCTGGATTCTGAGGCACTTTCACTCACATGCACAAACCCACACATGAAAATACGTGCATACAAACATTAATTAAAAGACAATAAAAATAAACCTTTCTGAGAGAGGTAACAGACTCAGAAAGACAAATATAATATGTACTCACTCATAGGTGGATATTAGACAAAAAAGCAAAGATAACCAGCATAAAATCCATAACCCCACAGAACCTAGGCAACCAAAAGGACCCTAAGAAAGACAAACATGGATCCACCTACGAATGGGAAAAAAAGACAAGATCTCCTGAGTAAATTGGGAGCATTGGGGAGGCAGGGGGAGGGTGGAAGGGGACAGGGGAGGAGGAAAGCAGGGTGGAAAATGTATAATTCAATGAAAACAAGTCTTTTTTTAAAAGCTATGGGGCTCAGAATCCTATCACCTGATAAACATGAATTTGTCATCCTCACTTTCACAAGACTTATTCCTTCCTCTACTGTTTCCTGTTTGTACTGGGCTTTGGCCAAATCAAAACTTGAGGACTAACAAGTTTTACACTCCTCTCCGACCTGGACGTTCTTCCACTGTGTCCTGGTCCTCTCCTTCTCACTGCGATTAGATGACTCTATTCTGATGTATTGATTTCACTCAGACAATCACCATCTCTTTTCTGGGCGAAAGCAACAGCTCCCTAACTTCTTCCTCCCTTAATTACAACATGCAGCCCAATTTTAGCGAGCTGTTCACGTCATCACTCCTGTTAAAATCCTAAGCTGACTCCCCACGACTCTCAAGAAAAAAGTTGAAGCCACTGAACAAATCCTACTTCTCTGTCATGCCCTAGCTCTCCAACTCCAACCCTTCATCACCCCTCACCAGACCACAATGCCACACAGATATATTCCCTGAACTAATCTTGAATGCCTCCTGAGTCAGTGTATGCCTTCCCATGCCTGATCCACCAGCTGGTGTCTACTCCCCTTTCGGCTGAGTTAGAGTAAGGTTTTCTCTAGGAGAATTCTTCATACCTCCATGTCATTAGGTACCCGAATGCTCCCTTTCTATTATTGTTTCCCACTGTGATCATCTAACTGGCGTTGGACCTGTGAGTGCACTTATTCTTCCAAAAGACTACACACTCCATCCTAATATCATGTTTCAGCCACAGAGACTCATATTTTCATTTATTTCTCAAACCTTTCATAATTTGAACTGGAAGACTGAAGAGAGCCTTGGGGCTTCAATGGCTACATATCTCATGAACCCTAAGCACTCATCTTAACATGTTCAGATAAGAGACGTGATATGAGGAACCTTTTGCACAGAGATGGAATCACACAATGGATAATATCTTCTCCCATGTGATCAAAACTAACAGAAGGATGCCTGGTTGGCATAGGAAGGCAGCATTAACTGCGTCACAGAAACTAATGTCATTAGCATCGTAATCTACCAAGACTAACTAATAAATGCACAAAACACTGAGGCACCACAAATGAAGTCAATAAAGAAAGTACGGTTGGTTTGTGTTTTGTAGCTGTACCACATATCCGCTTATGCATTTTAAACTGTGGAAAGAAAGAAATGATATATGCTTAATTGTGAACAGCTATTATGTTAATGTGATTTTTAAAATAAAACTGCTTTCCATGGCAAAAAAAAAAAAGATGAGACAGAGGTAATAGAGAGATCCTAAAGGGATGTGATGAGTGTTATTCTCTTTTTCACTAGGCACAGTGAGCTAAATTTTGCCCCAGAAAGTTAAGTTTTACCCCCCAGATAGAAACATCAAATTGAGTGATTAGTTCACCGACTTTGGGCCCCCCCTTCAATTCCTGAGCTGCTGAAGACTGGTTCTTACGGCAGCAAGGAATATTTTAAACCACAATGTTAAGCTATCACCAGCTGCTCCTCCCTCCACATCCATCTGCTCCCCCCACAGCTGGCTCACATCATTTCCAACACAGTATCTTACCATTCTTAGCATGTTGCTGGCAGTGGGATTAACAGCTCTCCTCAGTTCATTGTGTTTACCTACAATCTCTAATTGAACTTGTGGTTGGTTGGTTAACAACGCAGTAAAAGCTGGATCCTATGGGAAAATAACTTAACATTTTTGTATATCACAGACAGTGACAAAATTACTTCAATAAAAAAATATTATCACATAATATCATCCGGATAGAAAAAGAAAATATTAGCTACTTGACAGTGCCAATAAATCTGAGTCAGCACTTAATTATAATAGTAATGACTATCTATAGGCAGAAGACTTGGAAATGATGAGTAACTCATTGCAAAACAAAAATTCCTCTAAGGCCACAAATGCTAGATTCTGATTTTAGCTCAGCTTTCATTATATTTTTTTTTCCAATGCAATCCTGTGAGAAGTAATTTAGGGAAGTAGTCTGCATATGCCCAGAGAAGAAAGGTAATCAAATCAACCTGTGAGACTTACAACAGTGATCTGCCTGCATGTTATACTGATGCAATAGGGATCAACATTATGAAAGTAACAAGCCTCTTTTTAATTGGATTTAAGGCCTACTGCATGAGCAGAAACCCATACCTAACAATGCTAAAGGGGCAAAGAATCTGAGACTATATAGGTCATGTGATCAAGACGAAAACTTACTACTATTTTGCTAAAGGAACAGCAATAAAATGACTCCTAGTGGCATATTGTTATACCCATAGATGAGTGCATCTTTCAGTAGATGGGAATTATTACAGAGACCTACAACTTGACAATGTGCAGAAGAGTGAGACTTTGAAGCACTCAGTCCTTTGTGAGATAACCTAAGTGAGATGATGTCTTCATCAAACCCCTGCCATCTGCCCACAAGAGGGATCTATGCAGGAGGAGGAACAAAATGATTCTAAGGTCCAGAGTGATGGGTGAATCCAAGGAAACAGTGTCTTCCAGACACAAGACTGATGCATGTATGAATTTACAGACTGTGGCAATACATAAAAGACCTACCAAGAATCACCAAACAAAAATCCCAGTCATGAGAGGGAGAAACTATTTGTAAATGATATATGCTGGCAAAGAGCAAATCAGTCTTCTCCTCCAATGTAGTGTCAAAATAAAGATTCTATTACTGTCAAGAGACACCAGGACCATGGCAAACTCTTATAAAAACAAACAAACAAAAAAAACCATTTAGTTGAGATGGCTTGCTTACGGTTTCAGTTCAGCCCATTATCATCATGGTGGAGAGCATGGTGGTGTGCAGGCAGGCATGGTGTTGGCTACAGCTTAGCTTACAGACAACTGGAGGTTGACTATCTGGACAGTATCCTGAGCATAGGAAACCTCAAAACCCACACTCAGAGTGACACACTTTCTCTAACAAGGCCTTACTCACTCCACCAAAGCCACACCCCCTAATAATGCCACTCCCTATGAAATCATGGGAGCCAATTACATTCAAACTACCACAGTGAGTACATCAACCATGCTCCAGGGCAGGGCCTATGCCCAACCAAGAATAGTTTGCCAATGAAAAGCAGACTATATTGGTTTTGCCTTGTTTTAGCTTTTTTTTTTGTACTATTTTTGTTTGTTTTGATTTTTTTGTTTTGTGTTTAGGCTGCTTTTTGTTTTGTTTTGTTTTGTTTTGTTTTAGAGAGAGACACAGAACATGAAGTTGGGTTGGTTGGAGTATCTTGGAGGAGTTGATAGAGGGAAAAAAACATAATATATATGGCATGAAAACTTCAGATTAAAGAGATATATTTTGTTGTCAAACACTCACAGCAGGAAGTCTAAGACATATCTATTGGTAATCTCCACTCTGGTTTCACTTCTCCCATTCTAGACCCTGCCCCTCAGAATGTCCAACAAGGGTCAGCTCCTCCCCCAAGAGCTGATCAAGACCACGCCTACAGGGTATTTAAGACCTGGTTGCCAGACCTGACACATGCTCTCACTCTGAAAGTGCTCTGCTTTGCTTTGCTCAGTTTATTAAATCTGGATTTATTAAGTCTGATTTGGCTTATCATATCAGTGGAGGATACCCAATAACCAAGGATCCAATACTTGTCAATATCCATTCACATTTGATCATACCACAATCGGATATAGTGAGGGAATCAATTTGTTGAGGATAACAAAGAGTTCATAAAGATGATTCTGGATTGGGATTTTAAAGATGAACAGTGTTTCTAGGACTGCTGAGAAGTGTAGAAAGTCATGCTGAGTGAGGTAATCAGTAATCCAAAAACCCAGTGACATCCGCTTTGTAATGATTTTTAGGAATCAAAGCCAAGAGTTGGACCAGGAAGTCAAAAAAGAATTGTTTATGTCCAGGAGGAAGAAAAAAACATTCAAGGGAGAAAAGATGGGAAACTGTTAAAATAAAGGCTTGAGACAAGGGGGGAGCTCATGGACCTCAGACTGATAGCTGGGAAACCAGCAAAGGACTGTTCCAGACCCCCTGAACATGGATGTCAGTTTGGAGGTCTGGGCAATCTATGTGGCCTCTGGTAGTGGATCAGTATTTATCCCCTAGTACACGAATGAACTTTGGGAGCCTGCTCCACATAGAGGAATACTCTCTAAGCCTAGACACATGGGGGAGGGCCTAGATCCTGCTCCAAATGATATGACAGACTTTGAAGATCTCCCATGGGAGGCCTCACCCTCCCTGGGGAGCAGAAAGGGGATGATGGGATATGGGTCCGGTGGTGGGCAGGGAAGGAGGGGAATCAGAGGGAACTGGGATTGACATGTAAAACAAGCTTGTTTCCAATTTAATTTTTTTAAAAAAAAGGATTTAAAAAAATAAAGGCCTAAAAAAATAAAAAATAAAGGCCTTTGGAGTAAGAATCAAATTCTCTCCAGTCTAAGAATTTAACTATTATAACAGACTGGTTTTGGTTATGAATGCCAAATGAGGTTTGAAAAACTATTGAAGTCTTCACTTCTGGCTAGTATTGAGTTCGAAAAGTGAGAACAGAGTGTGAGAATGGTAACAATCACCGCAGTACTTCATATTCACAAGCCTCCATGCCAGAAGGTGAACTCCAGGTGTGAGACTTACACATGCTAACAAGGATGACTGGCCTTATTCTGAGATCACTAAAGCTTGAAGTCTTAGGTGAAACAGGGGGCCTGAATTCAAAATTTCACACAGTAACAATGTTTTATGTGCTAATTCCATGACCATTGGTAAACACAAAGAGACATTGGAATTAGGTTTTCAATTTAAAAACAAGTCCAATTATTTGTAAACAAGAACAATAGATAAATATAGTGAGCAAGGTAAAGAAAATGCAAATTTAAGATTACACATTCTTAAATTTCTGTAGCAATCACATGGAAATTGGATGAAATAAAGAATATAGAAAATACAGAAGAACCATAATCAGTTAGCTCTTTAAACCCATGTAACATATTGTATTTTAAGAATATAATTTGGGGATAACATGTGGTTTTAAATGCAGATGGCCTATTAAAATGTAAAATAAGTAAATTTCAGCAATATATGTACTTGTAATATGTTCAGTAATTGCCCCAAAGATATTTCCATATTCTAATTCTAATGTGGTACCATAAATATGGTACCAAAGTGGAACCTGACTCTCCAGCAAGGGATTTTATGAAAAACATATAGAGATGAGATTATGTCAACATGAAGGAGGAGGTTGGAGTGACACGGCCACTTGTCAAAGGGCAACAGTTGGCAGAAATCACTGTAAGATAGAAAGGAAGCAAGCCATGCGTTTGTGGCACACACCTTTAATCCCAGCACACAGGAGGCAGAGGCAGGCAGATCGCTGTGAGCTCGAGGCCAGACTGGTCTACAGAGTGAGTGCCAGGATAGGCTCAAAAACAATACAGAGAAACCCTGTCTCGGAAAAAAAAAAAAGATAGAAAGGAAGGCATCAGTCCCTTCCTATATCTGCATGTCTGCAGAAAGAACTCAATTTCAGACTTCTAGCGCCCACAGCTGTAGAAAATACATTTCTACCGTTCAGCCAGCAAGTCTTTGGTAATTCTTAACAATCATGCTCTAAACTTCATGTATTATTTAACCAATTATACAAAATACTGTTATCTCACTATTTAACATAGAATACTAGATGAGTTTGTTGTTCAACTTGTGCTACATTGTTGATGCCTGCTAACCTTCTTGGAATAGTCTTTGTCTTTTCAAGTATCTAATAGGCACATATGACTGGTGGCCACTACAGCCACTAGTGATGGCTTAGTCCCCTATGTCTGCCTCTTTGTGAAGTACTCTGAGACAACCATGATAGCATTGTCACCTATGAGACATGCTGGATTCTTCTGCTCTCAAAGCAGCCTGTCCTTTCCCAAAGTTGTCAGATGGCTGTGAGAGGATGTTTCCACATTAAACTTACCTTTCCTTCTGAGGGCATTGATTGCAGCAGCAAAGCAAAGAGAAGCAGCATCACCTGGAACCAACCCATGGCTGGAAGCTGTCAAAACAAACATCTTCACTGAAGTCAGGAGTGTAGAGACTCAAGACAGGGGATATTGGGTGATCTAGGGTATGCCAAGCACCTGTAGAGTTCTAACAATTTAACAGTTGAAGGTCACTGTATAGTGCAAATATAATCGCAGGGAAAGCCCCCTTGTCTCTAAAAGGGACATGAAATGAAAAAAGCTTGATGGTTGTCCTTGACTTGCATGCCTTGCAGGCGCAGTGACCAGGGAATTCCTAGCATCTTCCTGGAAACTGCTGTTGCCTTTTCTTCATCCAAATGGTGTTGGGAAAAGAGATTCCTTCCTAGCTAATTAGGATGCTGACATTCATTATCCATTTCATTGTGGGGGAGAGGGTGCAGTTTGTTTTCACTGTGTCCCATCTTACTATTCTCAATTAGAAGAGAACTATTTAACTCTTTACACTAGAATTTAGTCACGATTTCATGGTTGGGATTATGCCAAAATAAATGACCAAACACCTTAGAAGAGATTATTTTTCAAGGAGAGAGATTAGAAATTATGCTTATTTTTCCTCATGCTTGTATTATTGTTGAAAGTTCTGGTGTAGAAAAACAAGCATATAGTTAATGAATTAAAATCCTCTACTCAGTTCTGGTTAATCCACGAAAAGGCACAAAGGTTGTTTAATATTATCATTGTATGTTAAAAGGCCTCCTTGCTCATCCCCATATTGCTTCTTCTAAAGAGGATGACACATCCTGGGTCCTTGGGATAGTACTCAAGGCAGCTCAGTTGGGGAAATACTTATCTTCCCATCATCACCCACCGGTAATGACTTCAAACACATTGCACATAGAAAACCAAAAACCAGTTTTATTTTGCAAAGAGCAAATCATTAATGCAGCCTCATGGAGCCCCTTTATCTTTATTGTAATAATTCATATCATGTAACCACATATTAAGTGACATGGAAACATACAAATACCACACTTTTTCACTTTCCCAATAAACATAGTTCTAGTGTAGATGACAAACATGAGAATTAGCTATGCTATTTATTTACATAGTGAATACGAAGTTTCATATAAAATATATATACATATATATAATTGATGTTTTTGTTTCTGTAATAGCATTGCTAAAAGAGTTCGTTGATGCCATTCTTGATACCACAGGTAGATATAATTAAGAATATATATTTTAAATTTAAGAAAATCAACTGGCACACTGGAGCAAAAAGGCTTGGCACACAGGGAGGGTGAATTTTGAATTGACCACTTTGGGCACACTCAGCAGGGTTTGAGTCCTAGTCCCACCCTAATTCTGTGAGTCCAGCATTTCTCTGTGTCTCAGCTTCCTTGCTTGTATGATAAAATCAGTGACTGGGTTGTTAATGGCAACAACCTAAAGCTAGAAAATCAAGTCAACACTCAAGAAAATGGACACATATAGGCTTGGTGCTGTCATTTGAGATGCTTAATTCAGTCATACCCGAAGTCAGTGTAACTTATTCCAGTAAACTCTCCTCATTCACAAAAAAAGAATATATATTTTAGTCTTTGCAACATTAAAGTGATTGGCATGATTAAAATGTTCACATTAGAATGGCTGCTTACTGGCCTGAACAAGGGGGAGCACATCGACCCAGATGCTGTCTGGGAGGCCATTACAGGACTGATCCAGACTCCTGAGCATAGATGTCAATGGGGATGCCTCTGCACTCCAGGGGGCCCGTGGTAGTGGTTTAGTATTTTTCCCTGGTGTAAGAAGGGACTTTGAGAGCCCATCCCATGTGAAGGGATGCACTCCTGCCCTGGACACATGGAAAAGGGCCCAGGCCCAGCTTAGGATGATGTGGTGGACTTTGTGGAGCCCCCATTGAGGGCCCTACCCTGCCTGGGGAGTGGAGGGTGGATGGGGTGGGGAGGAGGGATGGGAGTGATGAGAGGGAGAGAGGGAGAAGGGATTGACATGTGAAACCAGCTTGTTCCTAATTTGAACTAATGATAATAATAATAATAATAATAATAATAATAATAATGAATGGCTGCTTACTGTTGGTTGGACACTTGAAATATCTACCTTCTCTGTGTCAAGAAGGAAGGTGTAGAGAAAGGACAGATTACACATCAAAACTGTCTCCGGGCACATTCTACATCTGTCCCAGTCAACACTGCCCACAAATGGAGTTTTTCATACCAACAGACTCAAATTTCACCGCCAACTCTTTTATTTAGTTCATATCTAAACTATTAACATGAGCAAGTAGAATAAACCTTTGCCTCCTAATCAGTTGGGTTCTTCAGCAAATTACAATCTAGGCTATGTCTTTGTAGTCTGGTGTGTCTATATTGGCTATATAAGACTATTTAATTCTTGAAAAGTAGAACATATCTTATAGCTGAACGCATTTGTGAAATAAACTTCGTATGACCTTTATTTCTATCTGTAGCTTAATATTCATTAAGATACAGTCTTTGGAAACCATCAGGATTGGGAAATCCACCAGAGCTTCAGTTCTCTTACTCAAATAAGAATTTCTATAGTTTTACTTAAAAAAACCAAAGACAATTACACAAAAATTCTAATGCCATACACATGTAGTATAATATGCATAACCATAAATGGATAATATCAGTATTTTTATTATCTTTTGCAGTGCCTAAATCTGGCTTAACCCTGTCAGATATTTCCATAAAGATTTGTAATCTGGTTTAATGTTAATTTCAGAATTGTTTAAATTTTTTTTCTTCCTAGTGTTACAGGGAACAAAAAACAGTGTAGTCTATAAAATATTTAAGTGCTGGAAGTCTGGTCCTCCCTAACATAAGGAAAATTAATTAACTGCATCCTCATTGAAAGGCATATACATGACTCTGAAGCTTTTATACAGCTACATCACTCAGTGTGTCTACATTGTATGATCCACAGTTCCAAAATCTAGTAGGCCAGCAGACCACACAGTCCTCTCCCATATTCTTTCCAATCCGAATTGTAGTCATCTTCACTAAGTCTGGGGAAGGACACCATTTCTGAAAATGTATTCAAGAAAAAAATATGTCTTACGCATTCCCTCACTTTCTATTTTATTCTTGATACCTACATTCATACTTAGTTAAAAATTTGACCATCATTTTACCCTTCCTACATGTGAGTGGAACAGTACCTTGTCCTTTCTTCTGGTGTTCTAAGATCAGGTTGACATGGTTCTTCTAAAATGTCAGGGGAGTGATGTATGATTCCATTGTCCTAGAAGACAGAAACAGCATTTGAAACAAAGATGTATAGATACCTTTACCGATATTGTCTACACTCTCTGTCATAAACTTAAAACCTGACTGTTCACTAATGTCCACTTAATTCTTCACAATTAGATGTCACAATTAACACAATATTATGCTTTGGGGACCAGACTGTGCTTCTGTGTCTTAGCATTTCCTTCACACACTAGACCAAAAGTGTGTCTCCTTAACTAACTCAGTAGTCATTGGCTGGATGCCACCCTAGAAAACTGTAGTATGTACTGGTGTCCACTTTGACCTAGCTCTTCAGTCTTCACATTCTTCAAAAGATGGTGTCTACAACTACAACAGTGTTTCAACTACATGCATCAATGTTTGGTCAATATAGCTTCCCATCTTCTATTCTGGAAGTCAAAGACAGAAAGTTCAGAGGAGTGAATGACCCTAGATCTAATTGCTGGAGTCATATAAATGCACACCTACACAATAAGAAACACTGACATTTTTAATTTGACTGCAGAGAAGTCAAGACTTGGACATGGCTTTAAGCTCCCTCTAGGTGACTCAGTAGAAATCATACAGACAGGACCATGTCTCTCTTATGGTCAGGAGAAACCTCTAGCGGATTCTTGCTAAGAAAGTGAGCTAATGGTTGTCCTTGAATCTGCTGATGGCTCCGCTCACCCCACACATCTTTCTCTGCACTAAATTCACCCACTTTCCATTCCCTGGTCACATCCCCAATCCCTGTCTGCCCTAATATTTACCAGGGCTTCACAGCAAGATCATCATGCTGTCCCGGAGAGAGCCAGAGAGGGCTCTTCCTGACCTTCCTCTCTGCGGACGACGGCAACTGCCTTTTGCTGCCACGTGGGGGCGACGTCACGAAGCTTTATGCCCTCAGAGTAAGTGTTCACGAAGGAGCAACCCTCACTCAACCATCTCTCTATAGGATGTCACGGACAAGCTCGTGAATATTTTCCCCTGTGAAAAGTGAAGTTCTACTTTGTTATTGTCATTTGGGGGGTTGAGGGGCGTCAATGTCTGTTTACATAGAGCGCTCTAGGAAGAGGGAAAAGGAGATACATAAGGAGGTTGAAAGTTTAGGGAGACAGAAGCAAGCCCTTCATTTCCAGGATGCCTGAGTGAAGAGCTTAAGAACCAACACCTAAAATCAGAGATCTCTTACTGAGAGGATTACTGAAGATTTCAGAATCGTGGCAGAGTAGCGCCTACAATACATCCAATCCCAAGGAGGCAGCATTCTGCCTTTTTGTTTACAAAGTTTCCCTGATCATCATCTGTGCTTGACAGAAATTTTGTGGTCAGAAAATTCAAGAATGATAGCTGGATCAACTTTTGAATACCGAGATTCCTGACCAAGGGTTTCTATATTCGGGCTGAGCAGCTAGGTTTCATTAGTGGTATTCACAACAGGACTATAAATGATAAAAGAGTGGATAAAAGAGGGGACAGTTACCTCATTCCTTAGAGAAAGAGATCAACAATGTCAAGTCAATTAAACTCCCTCACACCTGCTGTTTTGTGTCTCACAAAGAAGAGGTAGGGATGCTTACCATTTATTATTCTTACTCTGTTTAAATCGCTTATTGCATGGGGGTGCCCATGTGTCCACATAGCTGTGAGTATTACTTCTCAGAGGGTAAACACCTTTTTTTTTTTTTTTGTAACCAGAGTTTGAGTGGCCTGGAATTAGTGGAGTGGGCTAGCTTGCCAGTCAGTAGATGGAAGAGCTATCTCTTTCTCCACCTCCCCAGCAATGAGATTATAAATGTGGGTTGCCATGCCCAGCTTTTTTACATGGCTTCAGGGGGTTGAACTCAGGTCACCATTGTTATGAAACAAGCACTTCACCTGCTGGACCGGCTCGCCAGCTCCTTTATTAGGTTGTTTATGCCTTGGTAGAATTTTGGTATATCATATGTGTCTAGGAGTTTATATCCATTTCTTGTAGATTTTCTAATGTAATGGAATATGAGTTTCAAAATACACTCATATTTTTAATGATTATCTGAGTTAGCCATTGCATGGGTGTGAAAACATTCAAATGCCAAGACATATAGAACATTTACAAAGTAGTGCAGGACCCACTTAGTTCAAACAAAATGTGAAACTTCAGGTAATGAAAGAAGGAATTTGCCCCACCATGAAAAAATAATCACACATTGAATATCTTGCTACTCACCAATTTAAATTATTCACATTGCATGATCTTCTCTGAAAGGATCCTCTAAAGGAGATGGATTCCAGAAGTCTATCAGCTTTTCACAGAAGTAAATTATTTGAATAAGGGACATACACAATGCCACTAAAATCCTCTGCTACTCCACACATAGAGGAATTTTGATGCCAGGATCAATGTATTAGTCACATGATAATATAGTAGTGATGTCATAATGTAAAAGTCTTATCATAATGCAAGGTGAAAACAGCTGATTTCAAGCAGTGTCATCATCACCAAACCACTCATCAAGCAATAATCAGCCCTAAACATAGTTAGACAAGGAAGCTATTTACACATTATACATCTTTTTAACCAGTGTTGTCTTTACAACTGCTCAATACATAAATGGTTCCTTGGGCCATTTGATTGTTACAGGTTTTTTTACTATGAGAGAACCAACACAAAGCCTCTTTAACATGTAACCAAAGATTCTCAGCCTGGAATAATCGTATCCATGCTGTATTATCTACCAGGTTTGTTTGTATTTTCTTTCTTCCCTCACCATGTCTTAAACATTAACAAACTGCAACTGAACCAGTAATACAAAGTAGACACTGTGATGGAGACATGAGAACCAAGAAAATATGTCTACCCTTAGACTGTTTATGCATTCTAAAGAATGGACATGTTATTAGTCACAGTAGATAATTTTTCCTTCCTGAATCTCTCCTTCCCTGTCTGTCTCCCTCCGTCTCCCCTCTTTGCCTTCTTCCCTGGTACCTGGTACTTAGCCAAACTTTTCTCCCCTAATCTCGCCTCCTCAAAACTGCTTTCCTCCTCCCAGCTAGCTTCTGGCAAGAACAATAAGTCATAGACCAATCACCGGGTCTTGAAACTTTGATTAATATAGTTTGTAACAGTAAAATTTTAGTAATTAACTGGTGTGTTTAAAGTAATCACCCTACCCATGCCCAAAAGTCAGGAAAGTTGTATCCATAAAATATGTACTTTTAATAGTTTTGAGTGTGCTCATTACCATGCTTCTTTCTGCCTGTGGGCACAGTGTAGGGGTGTGGTGAGAGTCTTCCCTTCTCACTGAAGTCAGTTCCAAATCAGAACAAAAGAAGCCAGAGGCTTCAACATACCTAACTGAATGGATCAGTTAATCCTGGTGGAATGTCAGGTTCTAAGTGAGCTGATCCTTCAAACTGGAATCTGAAGCCAAAACAAGCAAAGTCATATACCACTGCATTGAGCAGTTGGACTTGACATAGGTCAGAACAAAATAAACAGATGCATTTCATAAAGCACAAGCCATGGTGAATGAAAGACTTCTTTATCTATAATAATAACCCAGTGACAGTTTGAAAGGGTTTGCTTTGAAAAGCTAGCAGCACACCTGGCCTCCTAGATCTGGGCAGGCAAAGGCAGGAAAGTCATCTAAATTCAAAGCTCTGGCTATATAATAAGATCCAGGTGATCAGAGCCTGAGGCAGACAAAAGGAAATACTGCATAAATATAAATTACCAAGTTATTTATACTTAGGCACTCCCTGCTGAACTTCTTTTCAATATGTGTTAAAAAATTATTGCAAAAATACTTATTGGATTCAAACTAGGTTTTCAAAACACAGATTAACAGGCATTTAGATTAGTATTTACCATGAAGCAATGCATTTTCCAATTTTATTAGCTCTTTATTAGTTTCATATGCATTTTGATCATATTGATCCTCATCCTCCAACTGTTTCCAGATTCATCTCCAGCATCTACCCACTCAAGGTATATTCACTGTTGCAAAAGTGTTACGAACATCAAGGAATTAACCAAATATTTTCTAATTGGATATAAATCCTGCTTCACAAGATGAAACTCATACTTGGTACCATTTTAAAGCTAGAAACCTATGCTTACAGGTCATTAGCTCTAGAAAAAAAATATATATATATACATATACATATATATATAGTTTTTCTAGAGAGGCTTTCTCTATTTAGCATTGGAGCCTATCCTGGTGCTCGCTCTGTAGACCAGGGTGGCCTCAAACTCACAGAGATCTGCCTGCCTCTGCCTCCTGAGTGCTGGGATTAAAGGTGTGCACCACCAACACCTGACAAGTATCTATATTATTATACTGCTGAATAATCATAATATTAAACCAGCCACTAATGGCTTATGGTTACATGCATAAATCAATGCATTCTTTAATGCTCATTCGAGAAGCTTCTATTCATAATAGATGATTGATATAGTAAACCACAACTAACCAAAGTCCAGAGAATTAAACTTCAGGATTTCAGGATTTTCATCCTTAAAGGGAACACACAGAGCCAGAGGGGGTGGGTGATTGCAATTTCTCCTTTCCCAAGAAATCATGTCTGTGTGGATGTAATCTCATGGTTCTGATTTCTAAAAGTCATCTGAGTTCAATGCTGGATCCTATAATCCCTGGCTGCTCAGGATAAATAAGAAGAGAACTGAATCTGAGCATCTCTCCAAATGTACTAGGGAGAGACAACAGCTCATGTAGCTTTCTGTCAGTACATGTTCTCAACAATGCTACAGGTGAATAGTCAAATAATGGTGCAGAGAGGGTGCCATGACATCAGAGCTTCAGCTGCTAACTACAGAAACCACCTCATCTCTGAGGTAGAATCAGGATACTCGGAAGCCAACAGAATCAACCAAAGGTCAAAAACAGGAAGGAAAGTTCCACCAAGGCATTCGATGTCATGGCGTTGTAGCATTTGCATGGCTGCCTCTTAAATTCTGCAAATTGTGGATCAAAAAATTCAACTGACCAAGACAGAATGCAAACAGAGAAAGAATAGGAGATATGGGCTCCAACCTGACTGCTCATATTGAGAGCAAATGCCTTGTTTTAAAATTTCTTCAAAATAGACTTGGCTGTGAATAGACAGAAATGACAAATGTAAGACTAATGCTTCAAGTGACTTTTTCCCCAGTGTAGCCTATAATTTGTTAAGAGTTGATTATATACCAATATTTTGATGTTTAGGATAAATAATTTTGACAGTATGGAGTAATTTTGTCTCCAACTTTTAGAGGAAAAAGACCACTGACAGAAACTGGGGCTCACTCAAGTCCATATATCACATGCGGATTGCAGCTGGACTGTGGTTTCTGGATGCAAGGGCTACTACCATTCTCAGGTCTGTGCTATACTGAATACTCCAAAGTACCTTTCCATACAAGTTTGAGTGCATGGAGTTTTAAAATGCAACTTTATCCCTTGAGTCATAATCTTCCAATAAAAATTTCCAGTGACATAGGTTATTAGTTTTTTTTTTTTGGGGGGGGGTAATGCTAGAAAACTTTCAAAAAAAAAGATCATGCCATGAATTTAACCAGGCACAAAGTCTATGAATCTCAATGAACATCAGTTAGCCATGCTGAAGCTTCACATTGGATTTTATATATTCACTATCAAATACATGTTTGATACACACTTATCTTCCACCAAGGGGGAAAAGCTCCATGACAGAGTTAAAACTGGAAAAGAAATAGCTCTATATCCTCCTTCATGATTCGTGTGCGTCCAGTCCTTCCTTATCACCTAATAGTTTATTTTTATTTTTCTCCTTTTTACCTGCTACACTGTACCCAGGTGATATAGCACAGTGGGGGAGTGTCTACCCAGCAT